GTTGAGTGGTGAGGTCCTAGGTTCAATCTAGCTCTCCGAAAGAGGGAGAGAGAGAAAGAGGAAGGGAGGGAGTTAGAGAGATTGATTGATGATTGATTTGATGTTCCCTACTTTCTGACTGATAACACAATACAACCAGCTACCTGCTGTTTCCATCTCTTCCATGATGGATGGTATCCCCTGGAACTATAAAATAAACCCTTTCTTCCCAAAATGGATTTTTGTCAGTATTTGTTGTAGCTATGAGTCAAATAAATAATGCAGCCCACAAGATTGTCCTATATAGACTCCACATAACTCTCCCCAGAGCATGAACAGGACCTGGGCATATGAAAGGGTGTACACTGTAATCACGTGGCGCCATCAGACAAAAGTTCAGGGATTCTGTAATTAATAAGGCTCCAAATCAGTTGATTCTGATTAATCAAAAGGTTGATTATGATAGACAGGCTGATGTGATCAAATAAAGAAATTCTTAAAAGAATTTCTTGAAGAAAACACTGCCTCTCAGTGGTATACTGTGAGGAGCCTACAGAGCTAGATCCTCATGAAGCCTCTGGCCTTGGTCAAACAGTTAGAAGCCATGTGTGAACTTTGCAATAATCAATCCATATTGTTTTAGGACACTGGTTTTATGATGACCTGTTATACAGAGTTAGAAAACTGATCTGGCACAGTCACTACCAGAATAGTCAAGCAAAACCACCACCACCAATACCACAATAAAATAAGGGCAGACACATCATGAAATATATGTAGGACAGGGGACTAACCTAGTATTCTAAGTCTAGCCTTGTCTGAAAATAATGGTCATATGCTGATTAGTTTCTGTCAACTTGACACAAACTAGAATTACCAGGGAAGAGGAACCCTCTGTTGAGTTATTATCTCCTTTTGATTGGCCTGTGGGCCAGTCTATGGGGGGATTTTTTGATTGATGGTTGATGTGGGAGGATCCAGACCACTGTGGGTGGTGCCATCCTGGCCAGGTGGTCTTGGGCTATATAAGAAAGCAGACTAATCAAGCCATGAGGAAAAAGCCAGTAAGCAGTGTTCCTCCATGATTCCTGCCTCTGTTCCTGCTTGAGTTTCTGCCCTGACTTAATCTTAGTATTTGACTGTGATCAGGATGTGTAAGCCAAATAAACCCCTTTCTCCCCAACTTGCTTTTAGTTAGTGTTTTATCACAATAGAATAGCAGACTAGAACAGGTCAGGTCTGGGGACCACTAATCACAAGGCCGGAACTGTATTTAGAGTCACATGTCCTTAATCTGTTCTTCAGGGCCATTTTTCTTCTAGGAACAATTTCTTTGGCCTTCTCTCCCCATGCTATGTTCTACCCTCTATGAATACAGAGAAGATGATGTCAGGATCTTTAGTAATGGTCTGGTCAACCCTAAGTTGACCTCTGGCCTTCACATTCGTGTGTGCATGTGCTTGAGCGCACGCTCGCAGACACACACCCACACACACTCGCCTGCCCATATGCACACATATACAAAAAATAATAAATAAAAGGGGCTTCTGAGCTAGTTTGCAATGTGTTTGCATGTCATAATGCAGCAAGATGGCCCTCCCCTGATGCCAAATAGACACCCACATCATATTCTTAGACTTCCCAGGCACTAGAAAACTTTTAATTAATCTAAGTAAACTTCTAATTTTTATAAATTAGCTTGTATGATTCAGTTATAGAAACAGAAAACAAATGAAGACATAAGTGCTTGGGTGAAATTTGTCAAGTTGAACATGCTTCCAAACTACTCTTGGGTTTGTTTGGTTTTTGTTTTTTAAAGATTTATTTATTTTTACAGATACAGTGTTCTGCCTACATGCCAGAAGAGGGCACCAGATTGAACTGGAGATGGTTGTGAGCCACCATGTGGTTGCTGGGAATTGAACTCAGGACTCCTGGAAGGACGGTCAGTGCTCTTAACCTCTGAGTATCTCTCCAGCCCTACTCTTGGGGTACTTTTTTTTTTTTATCTTAACAGATTTCATACCAATCAATTAATGACCTAAGTCCCAAATCTTGGAAGTATCCTGGATTCATGTATCTCATTTATCCTATACTTTCAACTATCAGTTACCAAAACATGTAGATTTCAACTCTGAATGTCTTTTAAATCTGACAGCTTTTTTTTTTCTGTCTTGTAAAACTTCATGCTGAGTCATAATTTGCTTAAATTATTTCAATATTCCTGACAGTTCTTTCCTCTCTGGTCATAGTCTCTTCCTTTATATAATTTCCCTACTTAGAATACTTGAGGGGTTTCTCTAGTCACATTCAATCTCCTTATCATGGACCACATGATATTCATCATCTGCATCCTGTGCCTGAACTAGTATCTCTGTTCCAGTCAATAATCGTCAGTAAATAAGTGAACCAATTCAGGGATGGCAACCAGCTACCTGCTGTTTCCATCTCTTCCATGATGGATGGTATCCCCTGGAACTATAAAATAAACCCTTTCTTCCCAAAATGGATTTTTGTCAGTATTTGTTGTAGCTATGAGTCAAATAAATAATGCAGCCCACAAGATTGTCCTATATAGACTCCACATAACTCTCCCCAGAGCATGAACAGGACCTGGGCATATGAAAGGGTGTACACTGTAATCACGTGGCGCCATCAGACAAAAGTTCAGGGATTCTGTAATTAATAAGGCTCCAAATCAGTTGATTCTGATTAATCAAAAGGTTGATTATGATAGACAGGCTGATGTGATCAAATAAAGAAATTCTTAAAAGAATTTCTTGAAGAAAACACTGCCTCTCAGTGGTATACTGTGAGGAGCCTACAGAGCTAGATCCTCATGAAGCCTCTGGCCTTGGTCAAACAGTTAGAAGCCATGTGTGAACTTTGCAATAATCAATCCATATTGTTTTAGGACACTGGTTTTATGATGACCTGTTATACAGAGTTAGAAAACTGATCTGGCACAGTCACTACCAGAATAGTCAAGCAAAACCACCACCACCAATACCACAATAAAATAAGGGCAGACACATCATGAAATATATGTAGGACAGGGGACTAACCTAGTATTCTAAGTCTAGCCTTGTCTGAAAATAATGGTCATATGCTGATTAGTTTCTGTCAACTTGACACAAACTAGAATTACCAGGGAAGAGGAACCCTCTGTTGAGTTATTATCTCCTTTTGATTGGCCTGTGGGCCAGTCTATGGGGGGATTTTTTGATTGATGGTTGATGTGGGAGGATCCAGACCACTGTGGGTGGTGCCATCCTGGCCAGGTGGTCTTGGGCTATATAAGAAAGCAGACTAATCAAGCCATGAGGAAAAAGCCAGTAAGCAGTGTTCCTCCATGATTCCTGCCTCTGTTCCTGCTTGAGTTTCTGCCCTGACTTAATCTTAGTATTTGACTGTGATCAGGATGTGTAAGCCAAATAAACCCCTTTCTCCCCAACTTGCTTTTAGTTAGTGTTTTATCACAATAGAATAGCAGACTAGAACAGGTCAGGTCTGGGGACCACTAATCACAAGGCCGGAACTGTATTTAGAGTCACATGTCCTTAATCTGTTCTTCAGGGCCATTTTTCTTCTAGGAACAATTTCTTTGGCCTTCTCTCCCCATGCTATGTTCTACCCTCTATGAATACAGAGAAGATGATGTCAGGATCTTTAGTAATGGTCTGGTCAACCCTAAGTTGACCTCTGGCCTTCACATTCGTGTGTGCATGTGCTTGAGCGCACGCTCGCAGACACACACCCACACACACTCGCCTGCCCATATGCACACATATACAAAAAATAATAAATAAAAGGGGCTTCTGAGCTAGTTTGCAATGTGTTTGCATGTCATAATGCAGCAAGATGGCCCTCCCCTGATGCCAAATAGACACCCACATCATATTCTTAGACTTCCCAGGCACTAGAAAACTTTTAATTAATCTAAGTAAACTTCTAATTTTTATAAATTAGCTTGTATGATTCAGTTATAGAAACAGAAAACAAATGAAGACATAAGTGCTTGGGTGAAATTTGTCAAGTTGAACATGCTTCCAAACTACTCTTGGGTTTGTTTGGTTTTTGTTTTTTAAAGATTTATTTATTTTTACAGATACAGTGTTCTGCCTACATGCCAGAAGAGGGCACCAGATTGAACTGGAGATGGTTGTGAGCCACCATGTGGTTGCTGGGAATTGAACTCAGGACTCCTGGAAGGACGGTCAGTGCTCTTAACCTCTGAGTATCTCTCCAGCCCTACTCTTGGGGTACTTTTTTTTTTTTATCTTAACAGATTTCATACCAATCAATTAATGACCTAAGTCCCAAATCTTGGAAGTATCCTGGATTCATGTATCTCATTTATCCTATACTTTCAACTATCAGTTACCAAAACATGTAGATTTCAACTCTGAATGTCTTTTAAATCTGACAGCTTTTTTTTTTTCTGTCTTGTAAAACTTCATGCTGAGTCATAATTTGCTTAAATTATTTCAATATTCCTGACAGTTCTTTCCTCTCTGGTCATAGTCTCTTCCTTTATATAATTTCCCTACTTAGAATACTTGAGGGGTTTCTCTAGTCACATTCAATCTCCTTATCATGGACCACATGATATTCATCATCTGCATCCTGTGCCTGAACTAGTATCTCTGTTCCAGTCAATAATCAGTAAATAAGTGAACCAATGCAGGGATGGGGTGATTATGCCAGTCTCCCTACAAGGATCTAGGTCCATGTGTCTCCATTAAACCAAAGCCTATCAGGAGAGGACCCCAAAGCTGTCTCTCAGACTATAGACGTGACCTTTCATGAGGTTTTTTAGAAACTCCCTGAGAAAAGAAAGCCACTTTCTTGAAGTGGGATTGGGTTGGGACATGGGACCCCTTCCATGTGGCTCCCAGTCCATACACATAGGAATGCACCCAGTTCTCACTCATCACTTGATCACACTTCCTAAACTGCACACTGTCTGCATCTGTCTAAGAGTATTTGGCCCTAGAAGGAGTGGTAGAAGAATCCCTTACTTGCATTCAACAGAGTTCGGATCTTCTTTTCTTCTTCAGCTTCTTGAAGTACCTTTTCAGCCAGCGTTTTCTCCTCTGATTCGATACATATGTCAGCTTCCCGGAGGTATTCCAGGTAGTCAATCTCCCGCTGGGCACGCTCCACTCTCAGTGCCAGGTTATTGACTGCACTCTTATATTCACTCGTGTGGGTCTGACACTTCCCCAGCATGATGGAGATGTTTTTTGAGAATTCCTGGAAGTCTTGAATGTATGCCCTTGTTGTTTGGGTGCATTTTTCCAGCCCTTGCTTCAAATAGGAAATAAATTACCGAAGTTACCAAATTACTGTAAATTATTTCGATTATTCAAGTAATACAAATAGTTATCATTCTAGAAAAAGATTATTAGAAAATTATAACTAAAAGGGGACAAATAACCCATAATCCTAAATTCATAGGTATTACTAACATTTAGTATACTAGTTTTTAAGTTTTCCAAAGTATATCATAATGCATATAGACATATATTTGCAGGTGATTTTACTAAATATCTGTTTATTTAACTTCCTGATATATTGTTAACATTTAAATATCATTATTATATTATTATAATTATGTATTATTTCTCATATTTACTTTTGAGGTGGTAAAAATCTAATCTCTCAATATCCAGGTATCAGCATATTGCTGTTTTCTATAGTAATGATAGGTACAATAAATCTCTTGGACTTAATTCTTTCTCTTGTGTGTGTGTGTGTGTATGTATCTGTGTGTTTATGTGTGTATGGTATACATGTGGAGTCCACAAGGCAACATCAGGTGTCTTTAACAATCTTTTGGACCTCTTATGTTCTGAGGCAGTGTCTCTCATTGAATCTGAAGCTCACTGGCTGTCTAGACTGCCTAGCCAGCAAGCCCCAGAGAACTGCCTGCCTCCACCTCCACAGCACTGGGCTTACAGATGGACATCACTACACCTGAACTCAGTTCCTCATGCTTAGGTGCACACTGTATTAATTGAGTCAGAACTTATTCTAACAGAAACGTTGTATTCTTTGAGCAATATCTCCTCCTTCATTCCTCACGCTTCTCTGTTTTTATGAGTTTGGTTTTTTTCATATTAAATGAATAGTGAAATCATTCATTCAGTGTTTATCTTCTCATGGATGGCCTATTTCATTGAGCAGAAGATCTTGAAGTCCATCTACAGTATCATGTAAGAGCTCCATTTTAAAGGCTGAACAACATTGTATTGTGTATATGTACGTTTTCTTTATCCATATGTAACATAATTTTAATAAGATGCAAGCTTTTATTAAATTGAAATCCTAGTGTTTGTTCCATTAAACAGAAACATTTAGTCTTCATTTTTTTCACTGTGTCAAGGAAAAAAAGCTATGCATTTACATTTTTATGTCCTTAGTTATTTTCTTAGGCTTGATTCCCAGAAATAAGTTCCATTCCCTTACATCTGGCATGAGCTAAGGCTATAGTAATACTCAATGAATATTTGGTGAATGAAGAGTAAATGAATGGAAATGGGTTTTTGGGTCACAGAGTTGGTAGTTAAAACTCACTTGGCGACATTGACCAAAACCTTCTCCACAAATGTAAAACTTTTTACTCTAAACATAATTATGTAGGGCACCTTCACTTGGAAGAGAAAGAGCTAGAGACATGAAAAGTAGCAGCAGCAGCACCCACAAGAGAGAGAGAGAGATAGACACACATAGAGAGACAGACAGAGAAAAATAGAGACAGAGAGGGACACAGAGACAGGGGAAAATGAATATTAATAATTCACAAATATCCAAGTATCTATTTTCCTTTTTCCTACTCTCCCACATACCCCTCTCAGGACAGACCCTGATCCCTGAGTTGTCAAGCCTCTGTATTAGCCAGCAGTGATTGTCACCTGGGACTTGGCTTCTCTTCCAGGTCAGAACCTAGTGGTCAGAGAAGCACACATCTTTATCTCCTACAGAACATATCTAAGCATCTACAGAGCAGATCTGATCTTCGAAGTCCACATTCAGGGTTGTGAATGTCTTACTCTGTGTGTTATTCTCTTGTCTGAGACAAACTCTCACAGTACCAAAGGACAATGCATAGGAGTTTAGCTGCTGCTGAAGCCTGAGCAGATTTTTGGCACTTTTAGCAATTGAGGTTGGTGGTGGGTCTAGAAAGAGAGCAGTAGAGCAGTAAGAGGCCTGAGGCCTGGGAGTGCTTCTTCCACAGCTTCCAGACCTCCACCTGCTTACTGGACAATGTGAGGAAATGTGTTTGGATTGCGCCATGGGCTTATTTTTACTGAGACTATAACTAGGTGACACCATCATTTAGATTTACAGATTCTTTTTTTAGGAAAACATAGAAAATAAATGTTTGAGGTAAGATTGTCCTTGAAAGAAGATGCACAATATGCATCTTCTAACTTGCGCAATCTAACTTGTGCAAGAGCCAGTCATTCTAAACTGCAAGGTTGGGTTTGTCCCTGAGAACCTGACTGGCCTATAAAAATACTGGATTTTGTTCATTTGTTTTTTTGTTTTAAGATAGAGACCTATGTAGCCTAAACTGGTCTCAAATTTTCTATGTATCCAAAGATGACTGAACTACTTGGTCCTCTTCCTGCCTCCATCTGTGGAGTGCTGACATTGCAGGTACATGACAACACATCTGGCTTATGCCATGCTAGGCACTGAATCCAGGGCTTTGTGCCCTGGATAGGTTTTTGCCTATTCTAATGAGGTGAAAGCTCAAGTGCATTCTCTTTGTTTAATATCGCCAGACAAAAAATCTCATTTCTAAGCCTAAATCCAGTTAAGATTAAAAAGCAAAAAATTCATGATCAGGCTCTGTGTATACTACATTTTATGGTCACTTAACAGTTTGTCATAAAAAGGGAAAAAGAAAAGCTGGAACCAGTTAGCACCCGAATACAATGAAAGATGAAAGAAGTGTGACTACAGTTATAATATTTCATACATACTTTGAAGACTGAACTGTTGGGTTTTAAATGTTCAGCAACCTGGAAATTTACTCGCTCCATGAGGCCATGTTCTGAGTATGGATTAATGACATAAAATCAAACAACCCCAGTTTCTCAAAGTTGAAATCTTTTCACTAAGTCTTCAGAATACCATTTGAAGTGAAATTCTATGTCCATTTTATAGGTGAGGAAAACTGTCAGGGCAAAGTGTAGAGTGAAGCCTCCCTCAAAGTCTAGAGCGGCCTGGACTGGAAGTGTTATCCTGAGCTGCTAGGCTATGCATGTCTGTAAATGTAATCACAGCAATGATTCATTCTGTATCTGGAAGACATGCATCCTAGCTGACAGGAAAATCTGGAACGATAGAGTGACTTCCAAGAGGCATCCTCCCAGTGAAGGGAACACACGTCACCTACCTCCAAGACTTGGAAGCGCTGGTAGATGTAGTGTACCATAGCTGGGTCCTGGGCATGTTGTGGTGGGGGCAGAAATGCTGCGAGCAAGAGAACCAGTAAACAAGCTCCCCGATGAGCCACCATCATCCTTCACTCTCCCCAGCAGCAGGGTTTCTTACACTTTGGTTCTCTAAAGAGACTCAAGGGTCCAGGTAGTGATCTCTGCTTTTCTGTTTGCTGCTGTGGCAATTCCTTAGAAAACAACGCTTTGCACAGCCAGAGAACAAAGTCCGCTTGTTATTCTATGCAGTGCATGATCTCAGTTTCAAGCTGGTGATCAAGTCCAGCTGTTGGCACGTCAGTCCCTGGAGGCCTTGCTTGCTCACTTGGTGCAGAGAGCTCCCTGGGTCCAGCAGCTGCTGCCCTCGGCCTGGACATGCATAGACCCTTTCCAGGCTAGTGGCTGCACATTGCTTCCAGGTCTAGGGTATATGGATTGGGGAAGGGGTGGGGAGGTCTTTCCACCCCTCCCCCAGCTCTTTTACTTTTGTTTTCCTCCTCCCTAATGGACTGTGCAGTCCAATCATAGGCCTAGCTCAATACAGGCCACCCCCTAGTTCTCGGCGTTGGAATTTCAGTTCAGTTTCTGGCAAACATTTCTAGGATCCTTTTCCAAGAAGTTCTGTTAGGAGACCCCACCTCTCTTTCCAGACTTCCCTTGCATTCTTGTAGCTCTTAAAGGCGTAGCCAGGAAATGTGAACACTAGTCTATAACATCTCGGAAAAGCCAGTGTACAGGGTTGCATTGCTTTGGGCAGAGAGGTATAGTGGGCCACAGGCCTAGCTACCCGAGCTGAGAGCTGAGAATTGTCAGGGTTGAACTTAGAAGAAAAATTTCTTTCCTTTTGTTTTTAGACTTTTTTTGTTTTTGAATTTATGTGTATGTGTATACATGTGAATATGGGGGCCCACAGTGGCTGGAAGGTGGTATCAGAGATCCCTCGGGCCAGAGTTACAACCTGTCTCATGTGGTTGCTCAGAACTGAACTCCAGTACTCTGCAAGAACAGCAAGTGCTCTTATTGGCTGAAACATCTCTCCAGCCCCAGAAGAAATTTCCTGGGAGGAGAACGAATGATTGACTTGCCATACTGAGCCATCAGGAGATGAAATTTCATTGTGAGGAAGTCCTAGGGTTTCCTCAGTGACCAGTGTCAGAATTCCCTTTAGCAGAAGGCTAGAAACAGGACGCTTAGTCCAGCTGAAGATAAATCATATGGCTAGAGCAAAGCCATGAAACCTTCCAATTTTACGTCTCCTGTCTGCTGTTGTCTACCTGTCTTTACCTCTTCTTCAATAGGCAGGCCCTGGACCCCACCATCATGTTTTCTTTTTTAATGAATCGCTTTCAAAAATATGGGAAGTTGGAGCATCTGTGAAGCATGGAAAGACCCCTAGCCACAAGTCAGAAGACCTGGTTTTGCATTTGGTCCATACACGAGAAGTTAAAACCTAAAATCTGAGAAATTCCCTAGTAGCTCTTGAATATCCTGGTTCTTAACAAATGTTCCTCTCCATGCTTCTTTGATATAACTTTTGTCCCTAACTGGTTCTCCTCCACGTCCTTGGTAAAATCATGAGCTATAGCTTCTTATTCTTAAGAATAATTGCTCCTGTTTCATAGAATAATCTTTGAACTCCTCCCCAAACCAGCTGAACATTAGCTGACTCCCTTGAAATCGTTATTAGAAACAAAATAAAAAACATAAATGCCCTCCAATCTGTGTCTTTCTACCCTTAAATAATTGTAACTCTAAGCATCAGAGAATTTTTGTTGTTATTGTTCAGTGGATGTTGGTTGATACACAAACTGACAACTGATCAAACTACTGAAAATGAGTGACTATGGCATACTCAGCTACAAATGGGACATTACATCATAGCCCTTCCTCAAGGCTCAAGTACTATCAGGAAAAGGGGACAGAAGGAGTGTAAATGCCAGAGGCTGGAGAGGACAAGAGCAAAACAGTATCTTTTGGTTATGGCAGGACCTCTGCACCCATTAATTCACAGGAAGTGTGGGTGGGTTTCCTACAAAAGATCAAGCCAGACAACTGCCAGCATGGAGTAGGAAGGGGTTCATGAGCTTCCACCCCTCAGGAGCTGTGGATCGCTGATAGCTTCTGAGGGAAAGAGAGTCAGTTTTCTTTAAGGGTTTGTGGTCTACCATGTTCCAGTGGGCAGCCCTAGACCCAGAGCTGCATGGACAATGCATATTGAAGGTGAAGCATTATTTTTAAAAGGTCTGAAGGGCTGAGGAAACAGTTCAGCAGTATACTTGCCTGGCAAGCCCACAGCCCTGGGTTCCATCTCCAGCACACACACAAAAAAGAAGTCCGCCTGATTCAGTATCCTTTTCAAAGTGGGAATGCTCTCTCCAAAGCTGCTGCTGCTTCTTCTCCTCCTCCTTCTTCTGTTTGTTTTGTTTTTTGAGACAGGGTTTCTCTATGTATCCCTGGCTGTCCTAGAACTCCCTCTGTAGACCAGGCCAGCCTCGAGTCTGGGATTAAAGGCATTCACCACCACTGTCTGGCTCCACAGCTTCTTGTACTAGACATTTTTAAACAAAATGCCCCATACTGCTCTGGTTTACTTTCACAAATGCCTCAAGCCCTCACATGGAATTGTGAGCTAAGATGCAAACAGATCAGTGAAGAAGACCTTGAGTGAATTGCAGTTAACACTGGTGGTGTGGCTGTACATAGCCTTCCCCAAGCATTTCTCTAACATGCTTATATTATTTATTTTTTAAAAACAAGGAAACACACAGCAAAGTCTTCAGTCTGTCTCTTGCTTACTGCTACTCTTTTGTTGTTGTTGTTTTTGGCAGTGGGGAAGTGGGGGGAGGGGGAGGTGGATTCTAAAGAGCCTGGCCCCTGTCTTGGCACACTCGAGCTCTTGGAGACCCACTGCTGTTTTCTCAGGGTGAATAATCCTGGATGTGTAAGCCCAGCTCTGATCTAAGGGTCTTCCCTAAGTGACTGACCAGTTAGCCACCTTCATTGTTGGTGGCTCCTTTTGTTACACTTTCTTCATGTTGACTAACCACTCACTTGACTTGCAGAGCCCTCTTGCTCTCAGCATCTTCCACTGTGCTGAGAGATGCTGAACAACTCTGAGAATGTCTGTGAGCTGGAGAATCTGCCTGATCAAGGAGGCAGAACCCAGCTCAGCAGAACCCACCAGGAAACAGGCATTCCTGATTTAGATGTTGAGTGACTTAGGTGTTGAGTGGGGAAGTTTTCTGCTTCCTTTTCTCTCCTTTCTGATTCTTTTCTCTTTTCCCCAGCCTTATCTCTTTACCGGCTATTCCCCACTCCAGCTATCCACCCCCACCTAATAGCTATTGCCTTAATGTCTTGCTCAAATCTTTCAACCTCTTACAAGTAATTGCCTTGTTTCCTGCATGAGTGATTGCAGCGGCCTCTAATTCCCTGTGTTCATCTCTAGATAAAGCATTGACTGATTTATGGCAAAATGAAAGAAGCTCTTTACAATATGACCTTAGCCAACCTTTTTTACTTCAACGTCTACCACTGCCCACATTCATCCTCCACAAGAGCCACGTGTGATTGTTTCCAAACATCACAACAAAATTTAACAATGTGCTGCTTTCTATGTTTGAATTGGGGGAGTGGTACAACTGAGCATATTTCTCCCATTGTAACTACAAGTTCTTGTTCATCCTCCTTCAGGTCTTCCTACCATCTGATTGCCACCCAGACAAAATAGCCCCCTCGTCATCTGTTCTAGAACACATGGAATTCTGAATTCTGGGAATTTGAGGGAAGGTTCTTCTGGACATGGGTGCTCTGGTAGAGAGGAATGGGTAGACAGCCTCTGGGCAGTGGATGTGGGAAGAGGAGCCATTTTTATGAGCTGAACTGCATCCCTAGATTTCTGTTTGCATCCCAGTCAGTGTGATCTCAGAATGTAACTGTATGTGGAGACAGAATTGTTCTATTTGGAGACAGAGGTGGTTAAGTGAGAGTTGCTGTGATGGATCCTAAACCTGTTTAATTGATGTCACTACAGAAAGAGCAGAATTAGACATAGGTACAGATATAGGTAAAAGACTGTGTGGGGGAACAGTGAGAGTATGGCAACTGTAAGTCAAGGAGTATGGCCCGAGAGAGCCAAATGTATGGACACTTTGATCTTGACCTTCCAGACTCTGGAAAAGAGAGAAACTAATTATCTATTATCTAAGTCACCTGGTCTATGGTATTTTGGTTTGAAAACCCACAGCAACTAATATAAGCACTGACTTATAAAAAAAAATTAAGAGTCTAATAATGGTGTTACTGGCCAGAGTGAATTGACAAGGGGGATGACCTGGGTGAGATATTGTTGAGCCTCAACTCCAAACTTCCCAGTGGACATTTGTGCTTGGATAGGGGCTAAATACCACAGATGTGTCCTGTTTTATTTTCTCTTTTTCATCAAACTTCCTTAAGAACTATTTTTTTTAACTATTTAGCTCTAACAAATGTAGAAATGGAGGTGTTATCCTGGATTATATCTATTACTCAATACCAAAAATTAAACATATCCTTTTCTTTTTTATCCTGCTAATTCCTCATTTAATGATATTTCCTACTTTTTTTATTTGTTTAGCAAAAATTTTTGCTACCTATTTGTGCTCCAGGTATTTGAGTATTTGGCTGTACTCTATATAGTGACAGACATGGTAGACAAAATCCTTGTCCTAATAGGTGAGTCAATCATATGGGTTCTTAAATATAGTGTACCATGATTGTTATAATTGCATAGTTATAAAGACAGCACTAATTGCCTTGACAGTACCAAGGAGGGCTCAGTGAATCTGGGATGACTTCTCAAAGGAAGCAAATCTTAACTGAGACCCAAAGGGTGCATAGAAATGAACTCCACAAGATGGATAATGGGGAGAAGCAAAAAAAAAAAAAAAAAAAAAAAAACCGTCCCTAAGGTAGAAGCAGCATTTCCTGCAAAGGATAATAACCTAGAGAGGAGTTTAGTGGACTTGGGGAACTAATGCAAAGGATACATGATGGCATTTCTATGGGGGATAGGAGAATGCTGTATTTTAGAACTCCCAGGAAATAG